CAGCACATCTAGATTTCACATGCCAGGTATTATTGCTCTTGCTTGACCTTTCTGGAAACTAACAATGAAAGTACTGCTGCTGCAAACAACTGTTTCCTTTCAATTATCTGTTCCCTTTCTGAAAAGATATCTCCATTTATTCTAAATCAAACCTCATTTGTGACTCAAGCATGACTGCTTCTTGAATGTATTGCTTTTTAAAAAGTTCCAAACATTTATTGGTCAACTGAGTTGAATTGATTAAACCAAATGCAATTAATGGATTTATTGTAGCTTAAAAATAGATCAGGAGTTAATCACAGCCAGGTAGCTATTGTACTACCACTGTAGCATACAAATTCAATAGCAACTGCCATGGCTCCAGTACTCCCTCAATTAAATGGTACAGCTAAACAAATGGATAGGATGATTTAAATCTTAAAAATGGTTATTCTGGTTGCAGTTCTGTGTCCTGAGAAAGTCAATAATGCTGGGATAGAAAAGAAAAAGAATCTGAACTTCACCCTTTGCTGTCTATCTATTGTATCCATTTATCTATCTTAAATCATATATTGTTTTATTTTTCATGATTTTTAAAACCCATTTGGGAATACTGAATATGCCTATCACATAATCACTGCATGGAGCAAACTGGGCTCTTTTGTTTTCTTAGCCAGAATTCAAGGAGTCAGATTACTTCAATAAAGATTACTCTCCTAGAGAGTAATCAAGGTGGGCTAACATGACATAACTTGCATAGTTATGTACCTGGTGATACAGCCTAAGAAACTGAAAACAGTTCCACCTACCCTGAAAGAAGGCATCCTTGCTTATATTTTAGCCACTAGCCACCTCTGAGGTTGGAATTTCTTGGACAACTTTCCTTTTGGCTATGTGGGAATAAAAGTTAAGATGGCCTGATCAAAGTCACCATGAACAGACTGGTTACATATTTAACCTCTCTGATCTTTATCTCCCACATAGCTGCAAGGGGGATAATGAAAGGGGGGGGGATGGTGTAGCTATAGCAGCTCCATTTTGTAGTTATTCTAGCCTGCTTTTTCTGTGTCTGGAGGCCAGAAATGAGAGTCAGCATTCATGTGAATAGTTTTGTGTGTGTGTGAACTGCATACTGTATTCATCTAAGCCAGGGTTTTCAAACCATGTTCTACAAGTCATGTTCTACAGACCTAAGGTTCTGTAAGAGATGAAGGACATACATACATGCAGTACATATGTGCCAATTTACTATCACTACAGCTTTACTTCTTGATCAGGGGTTCCACAGTTTTGTTTTTTAACTAACAGGCTCCATGGCTTGAAAAAAACTGAAAACCCCTGATATAACTCACTCATCCTACTTCCTGGCTGGTGGGATGAGAACTGTGGTCAATCTAAAATAAAAGAACTATAAGTTCCTGTTCCTTTTTTGCCCACCACTAGTGATAAAATCTCATGTCCAAAAAGGCTTTGCCCAACAGCAGATAAATTCACAGAGGCCAAAACTCACCAGTGGGCGAAAAAGAAACAAGAGCTGTGATCTTCTTCTCCCTCAAAATTGCTATGAGAAAGGCTCTTAAAAAAAATAGGTCAGAGATGGCAATGCAAGAAAGGAGTAACTCAAGAAGCTGGTTACTAAACGGAAAAGCTAGAAAAGCTTCATAAAGAACACCATATTCTCCTCTTACAATTTTTTCAACTTGAAACACTTGTTTCAATTACAGCCAATATTTTATTATGGCTGGGTTCCCACATCACACCAACCCATCCTGTGGTTTTTCTGGTTTTGTCTTAGCATATTTTGTAGGATACAAACACATTGTAGGAATATGTTGTAGGAACCCTGCTCATTAGTAAATTATTAGTAAATTATTAGATAAACCATGACTATTATGATGTGGAAGCATAACAACTGTGTCGCTATAGGAAATTGAGTTATTCAGGATATCCTATGGAGAAAAGAAGAAAAAAACTGGCTTTACTGGGGATAAGAGGTTGAATAAGCAACCAATGCAGTGTTTCTCAAGCTCAGCAACTTTTAGATCTTAAGAAACACTGAACTAGAGTATGAGGAGGCTTCCCTCTGTGGGCTGGAGCATTGCTAATTACTAATATCTTTTGCATAGTTTTTGTACAAGGATTAGCTTTGTTAATCCACAGTAGCCACTTTACTGTTCATTCCACTATTAAGATCTGAGATATCCACTAATTATTTTCCCTCCCTATTCCCACACCTGAGGGTGAGCATTTTAATCATAGTAGTGCCACAGTCCAATATTATGCTGATGAATTCTGGGCATGTAAATCTAAGCAAGCACAGATTATTGAAGTGTTACGGAGCTCCTCTCATTTTATTAAATAGTGAGACAAGCCATATTGCCCTATGGACTGATGTTCAATATAGTTATGGAATTCCTTGGCTGGAGCTTTGCCCCACTGTCCAATATAGCCACTCATGGCTAAGTCTCTTTGTTTTACAGCATTGGGATGCTGAGTCAAATATCTCCCAAAGGTAACAAAGGCACTTCAAGTACAGATGAAAATGATAAAAGAGTTACAGAAAGTTTTCTTCTGATGCTGGTTCACAGGAATCAGCAAGCCTTGGGTCTATAATCTATTACAATATCATACTACTAGGGGTTCCATAACTTGTTAATGACTGGATTCAGATAACATACCTGGTTTATTTTAATTGTTTGTTGAACAAGCCATTGAAGCTAATCCACATGTAATTCTAAGCCAGATAAAACATAGTGTACACACCACAATGGCTGGCTTCACAGATTATGTTTTATGTGTGACCTTTGAAGCCAGCCATTACATCCTGTGCAAATGTTTCAGTTCAAAGGAATATTAATCAGTCAGACATTTCAACAGTAGTAGACTAATTTGACTGCTTCTTTAAAGCAGTTACAGTGCCTGCTCATCAGTCTGAAAGACTCCAAGAGGGGACTGCAGAATAATAAAAGCAACAGTGTCCCTGTCCTCAGGTTTAGGATCTAAGATGACACAATAAAAAATGAAAGGGTAGAAAGGGATGGAAAAGAGGCAGAAGAAAACTCTGGGACCAGATCTTAGTATTTTATGGTTTAATGTGATGACAGTGGGGTATGAAAGGTAGCCCAAATTATGTCACTGCCTCCAAACAGATGGACCTTTTGCTCTTCAAAATGCCAATTAGCATTGGAGCTGGGACCAGTGATAAATATAATAATTTCATAAGCCTGTTATGCTATTCTTCCTGACAATCATTATCCTGTTAAACACTAGCAATCACTGAGAAAGGTAAAACTGTGTTAGTGTAGCTGATTTGAAGGGAATTAATCAAGGAAGCAATTGGACTTTCTGCTGTTGGGGAAACATGCTGTTCACTAATTTGCAAAAACAACAAAATAATACATACTCTTCTAACACTGATTATGTGAACTCTAAAAGCTACAACTTGTTGAAAGGGCATAATTTGATAAAAAAAAAATAACCAAAGGATATACAATATGTAACTGATCTATCTGCATCTATTCTACATCATAAGGTTATGACTGGTTGATCTCGTCCATTCTACATAAGCCACAGATTAATATGCCATCGGCTAACAGCAGGTGAAGTTTTCTTTTTTACCTGTTGAAGGTTATATATGGTGCCCACAACATAATTTTGCACTCTCTAATGCATGCCTGTTTAGGCTATGTAAAGATTTATTCACTGAAGCAGTGAGCATGAAACTGAGCAAACTCAGGAGGCAGTGAAGGACAGGAAGGCCTGGTGCGATATGGTTCATGGGGTCATGAAGAGTCGGACACGACTTAACGACTTAACGACTGAACAACAACAACAAAGATTTATTATTGTTGAATGAGTTCATTATTAGTCCATAGGATTACACTCTTATATTGTTTAAAATAAGATTGCAATACCTGGAATCATTTTCCTAGTATTAAGAAGGTCTGATAACAAGAACAGAAGAGACTTGGAATAAAATATATTTGATCTCTATGTTCTATGAGGAAAGTCCAGATGCAAGCAGATACAGTCAACCAGATAGGCTAACAGAAAGTCAGCGTTGAGAGTAAGAAATTCTCTACCAGAGTGAGTGACAAATTGTTGTGAAAAAAGCACTAGCTCTACGTTAAAACATTTGCAGAATCACACAGAAGACTTTTGGACATTTTTCTCACTTGATTCCTCTTGGCATTTTTAAATGAAGTATGTCAGATGTTACAAGCTCCTTAAGCGTATCGGTCACCACCTCACAGATGAAGAGTGGGAGTATGTCTAAGTAGGGCTATGCAAAGCCTTTCAAAGAGGTACTGTACTTGGCAAAGCAGAGGTATTGTTCATGGTAAAGCAACCATGTTGTTTGCAAGACTGATGTAGCTATTTGAGAGCTATCTCGGCCTGCTTTTTGCTATAAGAATATTGACTGAGAATTCTGGGACTTGCAGGGGAGCAAAGACCCACACCTCTAGTGGGTACCAGGTGGAATGGGAAGTTACTCTAGGACAGTGTTTCTCAACCTTGGCCGCTTGAAGATGTTTGGACTTCAACTCCCAGAATTCCCCAGCCAGCTTTGCTGGCTGGGGAATTCTGGGAGTTGAAGTCCAAACATCTTCAAGCGGCCAAGGTTGAGAAACACCGCTCTAGGACATTCCAAGAAAGTGCTCTCCAAAGTTTTGCACAAGACAGAAAAGAGGGAATGATCCCCAGAGGTCCAGTACCAAAGACAGGAACTACTTCTGGAACACAGTCATACTTGGGGAACGTGAAGAAGGCAGGCTAGAATCCATCTGTAACAAGAAGAAAAGAAAAAAGAGGGTGGGAGTAGCAGTATTGTGAAGAAAGGAAAGCTTTTCTCGGCTCGTTCACGACAATCCTGCCTTCTCTGAGACCCACAACGGAGAGGGGAGTAAAAGGAGTGCGGGTTTCATGAGTCGGACCTCTTTCCCCTCCTCGACTTTCTTGCTGAACGAACCGACCGCTTTGAACAAAATGAAGGGTGGAGAAGAGACGGAGGACGCCCTTACCCTCGGCAGCTCCTGACGCGGGGAAGATGGTGTAGTTCCCAGGTCCCGCCGGCGAAGGCGAGGGACTCTCGAGATTTTCTCAGGAAGTCTGCAAAGGCTATAGGAAGATGTTAGTCAGCGTTGCGGTGCGATTATTCCCATAACAACAGGAACCACAAACCGGTCAGCCGGGCAGGGCAAACAAACTGCTTGGAAACCGCCCCGCGTGGGGTCACCCGGGGGCAGGCCGGCCTCAGTGGCAAGGGAGGCGAGTTGGAGATGTTGTGGGCATCGCTCGGAAAGGGGAGGAGGCATTTAAAAAAAAAAAACGGGATTGAAGAGGAGTGAATTAAACGACAGCAGCAAATGTGGAGACTAGAGCAGTGGCAGATGGTCATATCCATCAGAGCAACGGCGGTGCTGGGCAACCTGGTCTCTGAGCAGGGCTAGGGAACAGTCCTACATTCCTGGTTTGGAAGGGGGCATATGAATAGGGCTTCCTTAACAAAATGGCATTAATGGAGCATGAATGTGAGGCCAGAGGAGGGGGATATAGGTCTAGCAAGGGGTTACAGTGGGAGGGATTGTGGGGCTGGCCTTCAGTTTTGTTTCCCCCCCAATTTTAAGTGAAAAGGATTAAGGGAGGGTGTGGAAAATAGACAATCTCCTATGGTTGGTTCATATGCTGTTCACTTTTGGGGTAGAGAGTACAGTATCTCAAGTGGCGGTAGGAAATAATTTGCTGTATAGAAGCCCAACAAAACCATGTCTGCGTTGGGCTTCTAAACAGTAAATTATTTCCTTTTGGTACTTGAGATAGTCTCTTCCCCCCTCTTGGCCTTCAACACCTGCTCTCTCTTTTCCCTTCTGCTTTTATGCTAGGAAACAATGCTGGCTCTAGACATTTTGGAACCTGAAGCAAAATGTAAGATAGAGCCTCCTCCCCAGCTTATATGCTAATAGAGATGCAGGTTGGAGGTGAAAAGACAGAATTGGTGTTCCTGTCTAGCTTCTGCTGTGCTTTCTGCAATATCTGCTCTGATTTAGGAAACGTTTTCTTCCAACTAAGTGATTTTAGTAATCCCACTGAGCTGTTCATAAATAATGCATTTTTATTTCAAAGTAGTCATGTTTATTGGAGAGTTTTAAAAGCTTCCCTAATTATCTCTATTTATAGAAACTCTTTTTTTTAATTTTTATTCCCCAAGTCTCAGTTTCACACAGTAAAGGTTAGGAAAGTATGCCTCACTGCAGCAAGTTGCAAAGAAATCAATCATCCTTTCTGCTGCTTTTCAAGTCTTGAAGAAAGCACAAAGCACTCAGAATATGCTATTAAAGCATCTTGCTAGATGAAACATGCGCACCTGTTAGTGTATCACCCATCTCTCTACTTGATTTGAAATCTGTAGCATTACAATCACTCAAGTGCTAATAGAAAATTTATGTGAGAACTCATGCTGTGCTCCTAAGTAGTGATGCAGAAAGAGGCAAATTGTTTTTCCAAACTTGTTTGTTTTGAACTTCTACCCATCTTCATTCTGGATTGGAAGTCTTTCTTTCAGAGGTCTCCTGGACAGATTGGTGTTGGAGTTTTGATACGTTTTGGGTACCGCTGCCCACCCTCCAATTTAGGGAGGGAGGGTTGTAGCAGACTTGTATAAAATTTGCCTGAGTTTGCAACCTTTAATTTAGGGTTGCCAGATTTAACAATTTACAAAGATTGTTTTCCCCCCACTAGAAAACCTGACACAAGGGGGAAAAAAAGTATTGATTTGGGTCTCAATGTAATGAAAGAGCATAATTTTCTCAGAATTGGTTTGCATTTCCTGAATGGAGCTTACAACCCTTCTTTATTTCCTTCTAGTCCTAAACTTCAGTTGCTTAATTTGGGATGGATGGGGTGTTTTGTTTCATTGCTATGTTAAAACAATTGGAAGTTAGAAATCCTTGGCAATCCATTGGCAATCTACAGTAATTCTAATTATAGTGGCCTTTTTATCTTCTCAGTTGTATTTTTTAGAATTGCTTTTGTTATTATACAGTTCTAGTTTTTTGTGTTTTAACTGTATTAACCATCTCTACACTTCTTAGAGAACTCCTGTATAAAAGCTCAATAATTTTATTGGGAAAAAATCCTTTTTTTCTGCTCATTCTGAAGTAATTTATCAGTAATGTTGGCCTAGAAAAGGCAAATGGTGAGCGTCTGTCCTGAGTGAGCTATATACCCATAGCCAGCAAAGTAAGCAAATAGGTAGAGAATGTATTTCACTGACTTGAGGGTGCCTGTTTGGCAGCCTTAGAAATTTGGAATCAGAGACAATATCTTTATGCACTATGCATCAAGACACAGCATGAAAAGTATTATGAAGCTGTTGCAAGAAAATGACTGGGATGTATCCAATGATGGTGGTATCTTAACAGCTGGGAATTTGGCAGGGGGTGAAATCAAAATATTGATATCAGACTATTTCAAGGAAAGAAAAGAACAACACTTTTGCACTTCAGAGCATAATCATAGTTACTTTTAAGTTACAGCTACTATATCTGATCTGTAAAAATCCAGAAAGCCACTAGATGACAGGAAAGAAACACAGGATGCTCAACTGTTTTTGCCATCTAGTGGTTTTATGGACTTTGGCAGTTTCGATCTGGTAAGCTTAATTTTAATACAGCTGAGCCCAGGGGAAAACATTCTTATAATTGAAATATTGATTTATAGCCATAAATAAGGCTATATTTAAGAAATTGGACTACTTGGAGAAATTTCAGTCCATATTTTTTACTTAATCCCATTCATTCTCATTGATTTGTGAGCTTTGAGAACATATCTTGTGATGATTTATTACTACTCTCTCTCTCTTTCTCACCTAATAATAATGGAATAACTTGGAGCTGCAGCAGGAGGAGACACCAAGGGTCTTATTTTATATTCCCAATAGATCTGATTCCTAGGCAACAGTCCTATCTATTAAGCAAAAGATACAGGCTTGACTATTAACTTTCTGTGCAGTTTCAGACTGGTATACAGACAACAGGAGAAGGATTTTTCAGTCAGCTGCTAAAAATGAGAGACTTAGGCATTTTGCAAAACATATTCAGTAAAATGTGGCTTTATGGAATGTCCTGTGAAGTGTTCTGATTGTATAAACATGACCAAGCTATGGGACACAAGCTAATGTAAATTCTCCATGGAGTGATCCATAAATAAAAGCAAAGGTAAACATTAATAAGTGGTCTGTTCCCCCACCTCTACTTTAAAAAAGCAGAAGTATGATCAACACTAAAGAATGCTTTTGAACAAGAATAGCAAGCCATAACTTTGAACACAGCTTATATTTATTAGTTCTGGTTAGTGTGTTTGTTGACTGTGCTTTGATGACATAGCACATTCATGAGAATTCTCACCAAGAGAGTCAATAATCAGATAATTTCTTCCCTCCGGGGGGGGGGGGAGTTTTAAAAGAAGAATTGCAATCAGTAATTCCCTTTAGTTAACAAAAAGAAGCAGTAAGGTGCCCAAAGGCCCCTTGGTGCCTGCCAGACTTCCCATCTCATCTGAATTTAATAGGAAATTTGGGGTAGTCCAGAATTTATTTAAAAGAATTACATGATAGGCCCATAGGCATCCTTAGTGAATACAAAAGAGTAAAGTTTGAGCTATCATGGATGAGCTACAGAAATCCAGATGACCACAACCCTAACTCTTCACTGTCATCTAGACATTGTCCAGCTTTTTACAGTTAGGTATGGTACTTCTACTACAGCTCATGCAGTGTTTATAAGTGTGATGCCTCTCCAAAAAACAAACTAATGTAAGCTGTGATCAGCCTGAGGGCCAAGCAGAATTGGCAATTTGTCTTCTGATAAACATGTGTAATTGACCATGCTCACTATGGCAGCCATTTTGTGAATAGGTAAGCAACAATTTGGGATCACCTACAACATGCTCTCAAAATTTCATATATGTTTACTAGCCCCCAAAGTTGCCTACACCTGGGTCAAATAGCTTTATTTTTACACAGTGTCTATACAACAATTAAATGCATGACTTAAAAAAAAAAAATTATTGGATTTAGAAGCTACCCAACTCCCAGCAAGTCTGGGCTGCTCGTATCATAAAAGTAGGAGCAGTAAAATGAAAGAAAGAAGAGATGTCTGTCCAGAACAAACAACCCAATACATCAAAAGAAAACTAACAGAAGCTCAACAGTCACCTTAACCCAGACCTGGAGGCAGAGCCAGTTTTTCAGAGGCTTGTGGAAGAGCTGCAAGGTGGGAGCCATATGGATCTTGGTGTGGGGAGGGGGGGATGCTATTCCAGAAGTCAGGCTCTGGGACATATATGCTACAATAAAACATCAGCCTCATAGTTTAGGGGAGGAATGGGGAGTGTTATTTTTTATTAACTGTTTTGTATTTCCTTCATATAGGAACCATAATATGGAAATATACTTCGAAAAAGAAAATAAAGTATATGAATCAAAATTTTCACTGGATCGTTCATTCCAGTGGCTGGCCATCCATCCATCCATCCATCCATCCATCCATCCAAACTTCCTAAAAGCTGAACATTAACTTTAGGTTGTGTGGGCTGAAAGCTAGCATGTTAGTGCTATTCTAGATCCATTTAATTCACCTCCTCCCCGCTATCCCTTGTATGATTACAGGTGTGTGAATAGAGGATTAAGTCTTATCACCTGCCTTTATAACACTCTTGGTCATAACCTTTGGGTATTTCCAGTAGAGCCCCAAGTCTCCTTATGTAGGTTCACTCTGCACTTTAGAACACTGAAAAATGGGCTCATCTTTGAATTGTACCAATAAACCATGTTCATAAACCAGGTTTAGATTAAGATTTGAATTCCAAATTCTGGCTTCTTGGACCAGATAGGTGGGATATAAATAAGTAAATAAATAAAATACATAAATATTTGTAGTTCCAATCAAATCCAGGGTCAGATATGACCATTTTCTGGTGAAAAGAAGGGCAAAGAGGAAACAAGCATGCTGTATACACAAAGTAATTATAAGCCAGAATTCCTGGCTCATTTTTACTGTACGTGCAAAT